ATTTTTTTTTTTTTTTAGTTTGATGTATTTGATGAACTTGGATGAGGAATGCAATTACGCACGAACCGCTTGGATTGTAGGCTTCTCGCTATGTTGGAATTCAGGCTTCCTTATAATATCCTTCTCAGCCAACTGAGAAACCTATTCTCCACCACGGAACAGTGTGGGACTCGCCTCTTGTTGAGGAATACCCACTAAAACTCACCCTAAAATCAGAGCTCAGGTTTGAACCCATGATGATGGTAAATAATGATAAAATGCTAACTGCCTGACTAAATATATTTTTTTTATTTATAATATAAAATTTGAAAAGTTTTGACGACATACTACTCTGTAAACTCATCTAGTTAAAATTTTGTAAAACTCAACTGAAAATAAAAAACTGCTACAAAACTCGTTTCCTTATAGAGAATTGAATATTATATAGTTTATGTATTTTTTTAGGCTACTTCATCTTACAAAATGTTGTTGTAATCGCTTTTTGAAAATGTAGAAGTTTTAGCTGGCCGGGGCCGGCGAATTTTTTTTTAATTTTAATTATTCCGAACGCTTATCAAAAAGATCAGGGTCCAGCTAGCCTACATAATGGAATTGCAGCGAAGGTGGTTTATGTAGTTTAATAATATAGTTAATTTTAATGTATCTCAGCAAGTGCATGGAATTGAATATAAATGGAATTGGCAACTCTGCACAGAAAAATACATGAAGTTAACTACTTTCTAGTAAATCAAGCCGATAGTGATCGTTAATCTAGTACATCAAATTTTGGAATAAAAATGTATATAATTAATCATAATTCATTAAGCTTCTCCAAGACACTGACAGCCACAACCTGTAGGACATTCACGGGAAACCTTCCACCAATCAGTAGCACAATCAGCGTGTAATATATGTTCACACTTGTAGCATGTGAATAACCTTCTTTTGACTTCAAGGCCACAATAGTTACAACTTTTGGAAGCTTTTTTGAGCCAGCTGATTTTACTCTTGTGAATATCAAATTTGGGTATCGTCTCAAGGTAGTTGAATTTCAATATTTCGATCCGACTTAATGGAAGTTCCCAATTGTATAAAATGTTTGCATACTGCTCCCTGTATCTGATACATCTTTCATCATCTTCCATCAGATGGAAATTGAAAGACTCCTCCGCATAACCTAGCTCTGCTTCATTAAACATCTCAATTTTAACATTAATGGGCTTCTCAATATCTTTAGCAAGGACACTTGAACTTCTTGAAAATGGAAGCCTAAAGTTAGATTCAGAATAATTATAAACAAGATTGTTTTCATAAGAAGTTATTGAAAGCGACCTTTGATCCTTGACAGATGGTGCATCAATGGATGCCACTGTAGGCGCATCATTTGAAGAATACCGGCTTCCATAGATAACACAACTCAGCATGGCTAAAGTTTGAACATCCCCCAGTTTTTCATAATAATCCATCAATTCCTTTATAAACCATGTTCTCCCAAATGGATGCGAACCCCAGTAAAACTTTTGACTAAAAATAGTAGATAGAATTCTCCACGTATCTGCCAAATCTGAATAGCCATACTTCGTACATATTCCACTGTTATGCATTGAAATAGCATCTGGTGTATCACCACTGATCTTGTACTCTTTAGCAAGCTCAATTTTGGACGGTATTAGATTTTGAAAGTCAAAAATAGCGACCACATTTTTGGTGACTGTATTCTGAGTCCCACTAGATTTTTCAGTTGGAATAGAAGGTAGGTTATTTTGGTAATTGTTATTGTAGTTTTGAATTCTGAAAACCCCTGGAATCTTAGTTCTTGATGTCATATCATTTTTCAATATATCATTCCAATCATCAGATAAACTATCATCACTCAGTTCATCATTCTCAAAGAGTACCTGCTTACTAAAACCTTTCTGATCAAATTTGATTATTTTTTGAGATTTACTCTCCCTTTGAGGAATGAAAAAACAAACCAATTGACCTGACTTTGTCCAAGATGCCCCACAACCTTTAGGGATTGGTGTACTATCAAATGTAGGTGCTGAATTCAGGCCACTTTGTGCCAAAGGTATTAGTTCATCATCTTCTGCTTCGCTCTCACTTGAGGAAATTGAAGATGGTAAAGATGATAAATCATCAAAGTCTTCAAGAGGTAAATTGAAATCATCATCATCTTTTTCAAGGTTACTCAAATCAACTTTTTCACCCATCAAAAATCTTAGGCAAGCCTCCAGAGAGAACCTTTCAACACTTGCAAATTTTTTGGCAATGTCATTCAAATTTTGCATAATTTCTTGACGTTTTTCATTAACCAACTCTCTGTTCTCTTCAATTCTGAAAGTTGGAGGATCTGATGGATAAGTTCTTGGGTATTTCGTTTCAAGTCTCAAAAATAATAAATCTTCTGGGTTTGACCCCCAAGGACCGTTCAACGAAAGTACTAAAGTTCCAGTAGAAACTGAAATCTTTTCAAATTTGACTTTTGGGAACTTATGACCAACCACACTAACTTCTTCACCAAGATTATCAGGTGCGTTGCCTACTGTCATATTTGGATTTTGATCAATAGGTGGAGCAAATGCAGATCGACCGATTCTAACCCCGGATATCCATGTCAAATGATCATCTGTGTTTATAGATTCACCTCTGCTTGTAACAAAAGTGTCTTTGGTCTTTTTCAATGCATAACCTTTATTTGTGGCAGTACCTGGTTCTTCTCTATAAGTTTTATAGTCATAGGCAAGTAATTCTTTAGGTTCTCCTCGCTTGAAACCCACTCTATCATAAATATCATCATTCATATTCCATAATCTCAAGTCACAGTCTTTCGACCAAGTGACAAGCTGAAACTCTCTATCATCAACCCCAGAACTTGAGTGTCTTGACCTCCATAAAAAATCTGTAACTCTATCTGTGTGACCTTTGAAAACATAACATGGCTTAAGCTTATTATCTCCCTCTTGTTCAGAATGACTAGCCAAATATATTGAGTTGTTACCACCTCTCAATGGCATTATAGAACATCCATCACCAAACGGAAGATGTCTTGCCCTCCAAACTGGGAATCCTGTATTTATGACTGAAACTGGATTTTCTGTATCTTTTGCTAGATCCCAAAATTTGACTGTGTTATCATTGGAGGATGATATGATTTCAGATTCTTTTGTCCTACTGAAATCCACACCATTGATTTTTCTCTCATGGGCATTAATTTTCAACAATGGTTTGGAATTGTTCCTTAGATCCCATATATAAAAGTAATGATCATGTGAAGAAGATAGTATATTTGGATTTTTGAAGTTCCATTTAACTTGTGATGCACCTGCCCTCCAGTCAGATACAGTATAAAATGGTCTTTTTGGTGTCCTTGTATCCCACGCCAATACTGATGTATCCACAGAACATGTAGCCAACAATTCAGGATGATCAGGATGGAAATTGATATCCGTGATAGCTCTTGAATGACCATGTAGCACAAGCTCTATAGCGCTGTTAGCGGTTCTTGCTAAATTCCAAACCATTGCCTTTTGATTTGATGTTGAAATAACCCATGCTGGTTTTGAAGCATGAGGAGACCATTGAACATCAGCAACTTCCCATGAGGTTAAGTGATGAAGCCATCTTGGAGGAGAAAAGGGATCATCCAAATCAACAACATAAAGACCACGACGACTATAGTTTGGTTAGTTTTGACCTATATCATGAGAAGGCTTGAAAAGTACATACCCAGCTAGTACAACATCTCGACCTGATGGATTTATAGACACAGCACCAACACCGCCATCAACTCTTAATGATAGAGAGTTACCAAAGGTAACAGACTCATAAGGAGAAGTGATATTAGCCATTGGATCGACGCCAGCAGCTTTCTTTTATTGTTCAATGCGTTTTTAAACGATGTTTATCTGTTCAACTTCTGCTAAATTATGACCAAAAATTGATCTAGGCGGACCTGGTACATGCACGCAAGGAGACTTTTTTTTGACATAAAATGCAACGAAAGTACTATAAAGAGTAGTCCGAATCTGCTCAAACTTATGAAGAAGCTTCACAGGATTCGAAGGTATCTAAAAAGGAAATTTTCATAACAAATAAATTCATAATGATTCTTAAAAGTGCAAATCTGTCAAAATTGAAGTGTCACTAACCTTTTGGAAGAACCAAGTTACTCTGCATCCCCAACAGGTCAATGTGTTATATGTTCACTAAGTTTATTAGACCTTATAATGTAAAGAGTTAATTAGGGTAAACTCTTTACTTGACAACTTTGACTATGAGAGGTCTTAGTATGTCAAATTCAATATCTATAGTTGAGATGTCTATATGTAGATAAGAACACATAAAACGGGATGAAGCATTTTTTCCTGAAAATTTAGAGTGGGAGATTATATAATCAGCTTTCATGAAAAAATGTTGTAGCGAAAAAATCTTGTCCGTTGGGAGAAGAGACAAAAGACATTCAGTCACGTTTTCTATCACGTGTAGGCCAATTCGACTCGAAAGAATAATCGTCATCTAGCATAAGAACGAAGTGCAGCATAGCTCAAAATGATAAATTACATACATAGCACATAGAGTATACAGGCTTTACATTACATTAGAATCAGCTTTGCAGTATTACAAAAGGTCCTTGAATTGATTGGTTACAATAATATCTATTTTTGGGTTGGTTATATAGCTCTAATATATACGATAAATCTAAATCTGGGGTAGTTTCAAAGCTGGACATCAAAAACAATATGAAATGAAACTAGATGCTCTTAAAGCTAGCTGAACATAATCATATTGCATT